TTCAGAAATAACACTCTGGTTATGTGACGGATGTGAATAGGACTTCTCTGGAAAAAGATTATAAATGAGGGCATTTACAAAAATCAACCAAACTCTCACGACTCTTAGCCATACCATGACATTTGAAGATCCATTTAAATAGATTCATCAAAGATAACTTAATTACTTTTATTATACAATTACAAGTAATCCTAATCATATTAATGAACGAACATATATACTACTGATAAATTACACTGTAAAGCTGTGTAATTTGACAATGAAAATGAATGAAGTGATAGAATAAATATAAACATATATATATATAATACATTAATTGTGTTCTAATCGTGTGTGTGTGTGTCTATGTGTCTGTGTATGTCTATGTGTATGTGAATTATCTTAATTATAAATAATGAAGTGCACCTTAGAAACACACTTTTTTTTACCTTTAACAATAATCATGACAGTTGTTACCTAATCAACTATTTCTCTTTTGCTTCTTTTTTTTTCATTTTTTTTACTATTTTAAATATATAAAAAGAATGTGAATTGTCTTTATCATCAATAGATGATCAGGGGGTGAATAAAATGATCAAATAAGAAGAAGTGGATTTAATTAAAAGAGGCGGGGGGGGCTTAGTTATAATGAAACGTTTGCTAGATAGGTATACTTCTTTTATTAGTGGAAAATCTTACAACAACAACAACAAAAACAACATTTTAATGTCACCCTCTTTATTATAAACTGACCATATGTACATAGATAGGTAGATAGACAGATAGATAGATGTGTATTTAAGTAAACAGAATATTGTAGACAATTGAAATCTATGAAAGAGAAGAATATAATTGAAAATTAAGAATAAGACCGTTTTTTTTTGGGGGGGGGTGTTTGTTGAAAAATAAACATGAAAAACATGTTCAAAATCAAAAACTTTTTTACAAGAGTGTTATATTCCCGAAGAGAATTATGAATGAGAACTTTTAAGGACTAATGATGGACAAATATGATGCGTATATTTCCTATTGTATAATTGTTAAGTAACTCAACTATACATATTCATGTTCCTTTTATTATAAGCTTTGTTTTTGACCTATGAACTATTACTATACGATTTACCGTTCTTGAGTTATCCCCTTGAGTACCCCCCTTATTCAAAGCCACTTTGGTCTGAATCTTGGACAAATGTTATTTTCTATTTTATGGTACGATGTGGTTTGTTTGTTTGGTATATAAACCCAGTATGTTTCAAATAAATGATTCATATTGTAGAGGCTGTTATTGGTGTTCTGGACTTAAGTGTCTGGGCTAGGCAGAAACAGGACCGATAAATACTCTAGACTGCTCGTACGGTTTTTCATGTGTCACTGGTGTGATCGATAATTCACTGTGTTCTCCATTTGGCCGTACCGTCACGTCATATAGAAATAGGGCAAAAAATATAACAAAGAGGAATATAATACATGATAACTTGTAATGTTCTATACTTTAAATACTACTTAGATTTATATAATAAAATCTTAGATATTAGCCATACTATACGTCTGATGTATTAAATGTAAACTTATTCTACCGATATAGATCTAATGTATTCCTATTAAAATCTAGATTTTGAAATAATCATTTAATTTAAACTGTATCTACCCAGATCCTTTCATTAAAAATATTGAATTGATATCAATGATTAACCAATTTATACTGAATAATTAGTTAGTTTCATTTTATGTTCTTCAAATGTCTACATTCCAAGTACAATGGTTATTAGAGTACACTAATGATGTAATTCAATCTCACAGAAAAAATACGGGCGTTAAATGTATCTTAAATTTTAATAGTTGAGATCATGAGTCAATTGAGGCTAGACCACCATCATGGAAAACCTGGAAGCACTGGACGACCGTTTCGTCCTATTGTGGGACTGTTCAGTGGCAGTGCGCATCCACGATCCCGCCTCGCGAGATTCCGGTGCGAACGCTTAACCTCAAGACCAGTGAGTCGGCATACAACCGTGGTAATGTTTAACTTCAACCGATCCACGAAATTGAGCGACACTTCTACCATTGTCTTCAGTGAATTACTATCTCACAACGGTTAGCTAATTTCATTTTATGTTCACCAAATGTCTAGATTTCAAGTTCAATACAATAGTTATTGGAGTACACTAATGATTTGATTTAATCTCACAGAAAAAGAAGGCGTTATATGTATTTTAAATTGTTTTCCAGGGGAAAAACAAAATTGATTAACTCATCACATTTTTGTAGTTTGATAAACTAAAGGAACCACGGATTGCATAATTTTAAAAACTCTAGATAAAGTTTATAAATATAGCCTTAACAATGAACTCATATACGTTGGACAGTCCTACTGTACGGAGCTGAAACGTGGAGAATTACTACAACCATCGTCAAGAAGGTACAAGGATTTATAAACAGTTGTCTATGCAAAATACTCAACAGTCACTGGCTGTATACCATCAGTAACAGGCTTTTATGAGAGAAGACAAACCAGCTTCCAGCTGAAGAGGAAATGAGGAAAAGACGTTGGAAGTGGATAGGACATATATTGAGGAAACTGCCAAACTGAATCACGAAGCAAGCCCTAACTTGGAATGGTGAAGAGAAGTGGAAAAGTGGAAGGCTAAAGAACAAATTACACCGGGAAATAGAAGCAGATATGCAAAAGATAAATAACCACTGGAAGGAACTGGAAAGGATTGCACGGGACAGGGTTGGATGGAGGATGCTGATGTGAGGCCTATGTTCCTCCACGAGGGGTAACAGGCGTAAGCAAGTAATTAATTTAACAAAGTAACTAATATTATGCTTTCTAATCTGAAAATAATAAATATGAAACTCTCTTGCAATAGATTAATTGAGCGTACTATCTACATTAGATCTTCTCTATTGTACTAGTTACGCTATTTCTAAATCATTTCAGTGATAATCAACACTTTTTAATCTAATGCTTAATAACAGTTTTTACAAGACATTACTTGAATTTCTTGATAGATAAGTTGAGATCTCACAATTCACTTGAGTCAAAAATAATTTTCATAGTTGAGATCATGAGTCAATTGAAGCTAGACCATCATGTGAAATCTGGAAACACAGGACGGCCGTCTCGTCCTAGTATGGGACTCTTCATCAGAATGCATCCACGATCCCGCACTCAGGAATCCAACTCATAACCTTCAGTCTGGCAGGTGAACGCTTAACCACTAGACCACTGAGCCAACATCCAACGGTATTATTTGTCTAACTTCAATCAACCCTCATTCTTGTATAACCCTTCACCCATTGTCTGAAATGGATAACTGTCTCCACCCGGCACGGACTGCAGTCCATTAGTTACGATAGTAATAACCATTGTTGCTATAGTCATTGTAGCGACATATTTGTCTATCACTACTGAAGTACTACTCATATATTTCTGTATAATTTTCTACTTTGTTAACTTTCTATCACTAGATACACATACATCAATAATCATGCACCCAAGTGTACACACACACACATACGTACACCCATATACATATGCACAGATGTGTAATTAGACAATAAGCTTATTGTCAATTACCTTGACCTCATATAATCAAAAAATTGTACTGTATCACAAGATATTGATATTTATTGTACTAATAGAAAAAAAATTGATTAATTTCAATTACTCTTTATGAGATTGTGATAAATTTGTGTTTAGTTCCTAGATTCATATAGATACATATAGATGTATGCATATTATATGTTACAAAGAAGAGTAACTTTCTACTTGACTGATACGTTGAGACCATGAATCAATTGAAGCTAGACCACTATCATGGAAAACCTGGATACACTGGACGGTCGTTTCATCGTTTTGTGGGACTGCTCAGTGGCAGTGTGCATCCACGATCCCACCTCGTGAGATGCGAACCTAGGACTAGTCGGTCTAGCTTCACAAAATCTCCTTTCTGATATTATACGTAATTGTCATCTTTGAAGAAGATTTCAACGAAATAATAGTGAATATTGGCAATATTTATTCATTAACTTAGTGAATTCATAATTTTATGAATATCTAAAAAGAAACCTACTCTGTTAACGGATCGATTTGTGGCTAAAGACTCTGTTACACTTGGTTTCCTGACGAACTACATATGAGAGAAAGCTTGTCTTTATATAGAAATCCACAATAATCATGCTTCTTGCCACAGTGAAATTTCTGCGAGATGTTAAATATCTACCATTTGCCCTTAGTACTTGATTCAAAGGCTTTGTTATAGCATTTAGTAGTTAATCATTATATAGCTTAATAATAGCTACGGTCTAAATCATTTAGAAAGAGCTTAAATGTTTGTCCATCATAATTGTACGTGATTAGAAAAGATGAATGTAATATAAAATCGATTAATCACTGGGTCAATGCTCATCATCAAAATGAAGTCTTAAGGTAACTAATGTTCTCTTTAGTAGTTCGAACGCACGTCACCCAACTTCAAAGTCTAAGACGTTACCACTGGGCTATTTAGTTAGTGGTTCACTTCCTATAAGATGGAAATATTTATAATTGATTGATTATCAAATAATGACAGACATTATACTTGTTTGTTAATTGAATACTGACCAAATTCTACAGATCAGTTCCTTCAGAGTAGAAAATATATCACGTTGAACAGTGCCAACTAACATGAAACTTAAGTAAATGGTTGTCTGTCAATCACCTCCAACCACCTGATATGCATTATATACCACAACTTTTCAGAGTTTATGATGGTAAAAAAAAGTAAGTAGAGAAACGAACTATCATATCTTAAGTTATTACCAATAAGAAGTCAGACTATTATCAATCGTTATCTTAAAGTTAACGAGTCAATCACCCTGTATGAAAAAAAACTTGGAATTCAAACTATTCATCAGAAGTTGCGAGGAAAGTACAGGGATGATGATGCAATTACTTAGGTTTTTAGAAAAATAAATGTTTAACACGAAATAATAAATAACACTAATAAGTGATTGAAAACAAAACTACTGCTTACTTTGAAGCTTCGAAATAACAAGTACAATTCTCTTGGTTTGGCATCCAAAGGTAAACCACTAACGAATAATGTACGAACTTGATGCTAACAAGAAGAAATTAGAAAATAAACAATTTTTGTTGAATAATTACTCAAGTATTCAATGTTAAGTACAATGTAAGCAATGAGTTCAATAGTTGACAGTTTAAAGATAGTAACTCACTGCCCTGGTATGGTCGAGGATGAGGAGAGTCAACCCTCCCTCTTCAAATGCTCTCATGTGACCACGCATATACAGCCACTACCAAGGAAATCCTACTCACTGCCTTCTCGCACTACAGGTGTTGTTTACAAAATTGAGAGGAAGAAAAGCAAATGTATGGTGTTTTAACCGGGCCAGTGGATATGGAGGATCCATCTAGGGAAGTTGGAAAACCCTCAATCCAAACCAATGGTGCACATGGACTCCAAAATTCTAAGGAAATAAAAGACGTATGAACATATGATTGATAACCGGCTACCATAGGACTTCATCTCTTCATGTTGCTCTATTGTGGATTAGACCTTCGGGTCAAAAGCTCGGGAAGTGGCCCCCTGAGAAAACTACCTGCTTCGGTTTGGGCAACTGGGCAGTAACCCACCTCTCGCGTAAATCTAATGCTTCATGTGGAGCATATCTATTTGATGCCTCCTTGTATCAATATTTATGCGTTTAAATAAACAAATAGATCAATAAAACGTGGGCAAGTCTATTAGAGAATTATTGACCAATGAATTTTAAATATGAACATAATTAAATATGGGACTCCTCAGCCGTCCAGTGCTTTCAGGTTTTCCATGGTGGTCTAGCTCCAATTGACTCATGAATTCAACTATGAAAATACTAAATTCTCCACAAAACCCCCCTTTGATCCATAATTAAATAGACAAGTGAATATATAAGTAACTGTCAATTAGTTAGAAGCCATGTGTTGGATTTCAAACTGTTAACTTTAGATATGAAATTCATTCAGTTGATATGGTGAGCAATGACTTAATCGATTAGAGTTGAATTGATTGTTTGTTTTCTTCAATCGTCTGTGATATAGAATCACATCTTTGAATTTTGTCATATCTGTTGTTTATAGATACTTAATTGTATAGTAGTGTAAATACGTGTCCATACAGTAAGATACTAATTATTTAAATACTGGTCAGTTCAATTTATACAAATCTGATTGTAAATAAATCATGTACAAAGTAGTTTATTGATGTATCAATTTTTGACAGCGATCGATGGTTAGAGACCTTGAATGACATGGCTCAAAATCGTTTTCAATAGCGAAGGTGCATCCACTTTTTGTGTCCTGCCAAATTCTAATCATCTGAATTCTTCATGTCTCTATCGTTTTTCTCTTTCCAAATTCATTTCATTGGATTATACTACTTAAATGACATCTTCAAACCCTAATCTTTCTGATTACTGCTTATACTCTTACTACTTCTACCACTATGAGATTCGAATCAACAACTACATCTTTATGCTAATATGGTATGACAACTCGAACTAATGTACGTACGTACGAAGTTCTACGTTGTGACTGACTGACTGACTGACTGAATGTATCAATTTTTGATTTAATTTGAAGGTCCAATAAATTATTATCTAACGTCTTCATGCACTTCCTAGACTCTTTGATTTATAGTTACTAATACCAATTATCAAGTTAGTTAAGCATTCCACAAACATTAAAACAATGAAGATGTTAATTCATTCCACTTCAGTATAATATATATTCAGTAAGGGAGAGGGTTAGTGGAGATTTTAGTAATTTTACAGTTGAAATCATGAGTCAATTGAAGTTAGACAACCATCATGGAAAACCTGGAAGCACTGGAAGACCGTTTCGTCCGATTGTGGAACTATTCAGCAGTGCGCGTTCACGAAACCTCCTTCTGATATTATTCAACATATGCTCACTAGTGACTGGCTTCAAGAATTATTTCCTGGAGTTCTAGTGAGTAGCAGTGATCAGTGGGGTTCAACCGGGTCTGTTGTGAGATAGTAACTCACTGAAGACAATAATGAATGTGTCGTTCAATTTGGTGGATTAGTTGAAGTTAGACATTAACGCCGTTGGATGTCGGCGGTCTCAGTGGTCTAGAGGTTAAACGCTTGCGTGCGAAACTGATAGGTTGTGAGTTGGAATCTCGCGAGGTGGGATCGTGAATGTGCACTGCCAATGAGGAGTCCAACAATAGGACGAAACGGTCATCCAGTGCTTCCAGGTTTTCTATTGTGGCCTTGCTTCTGTTGGCTCATGATTTCAACAATATATTTTGTTTGTTCATAGTATTTGAAGATTCGTAAATTGGCATATTAAGAACATTTCATCGAGCAGTTAAAACTTAAACTTAAGATTTCCAAAAAAAAGTTATTTATCAAAATATCATGTATGTAAATTCAATTCGAATTGAACTTGAAATCTCCATTATCGACTACTGATAACATAATCTGTTGACAACTGATTATTCAATATGATCTACAGTCATTCCACTCTTTATAATGTTCATTAGTCAACTTCGTAAGTTATATGAGCAAACGGTTGCATAACGTTTCAAATAGTAAAACATTATAACCTCTTATGCATAGATTTCTGATTTCGTCTTTAAAATACTGGAATATAACATTTCATATTGCACGTAGAGACACCATCTAAAATATTAATAATAATAAACCTATTTATTAGGTATGGATTTGTGTAAATGACTTTTATGTTACACTCTAAATGTGAAGACATATGATACAAGCCCCATAATTCAAACCGAACAAGGTGGAGCGGGACTCCAAATCGTCAGTCAGTCAGTCACAACGTAGAACTTCGTACGTACGTACATTAGTTCGAGTTGTCATACCACATTAGCACAGAGATTCAGTTGTCTATTCAGATCCCATGGTGGTAGAAGTAGTAAGAGTATAAGCAATAATGTGAAAGATTAGGGTTTGAAAATGTTATTGAATGAGTATAATACGGTGAAACAAATTTGACAAGAGAAAAAAAGAAAGAGACATGAAGAATTCAGAAGATTAGAATTTGGTAGAACACAAAGTGTGGATGAACCTTCACCATTGCAAACGATTTTGAGCCATGTCATTCAAGGTCTCTAACCATCGGTTGCTATCATCTCGCGAATCCCAACCAGGTAGTCTACACCTACCAACATGGCCCAGTCCACTTGTCAGCGACTTCATTGATTTGTGCCACGTTTCGGTCTGGCAGCCCCTAGCTTTCTTCCAACCTACTCCTACACCATAAAACATTGCACGTCGGGGCAGTCGGTGGTTGGGCATACGTAACACATGTCACAGCCATCTCAACTGATGAAGTTTCACTACCTCATCAATCGATTTGCCATTCTTACATAGTACCCGTTTCCTAACAACTGCATTACTTACCCGGTGGTCCCAGAGTATACGAATATCCTAACTACTGCTCTAATAGTGATAAACGGCATTTTAATGAACCAATTAAAAATAAGCAGTTTCATCAACTGTAATACAGAGACAATGCATGGAATAAATTCAATAGTTTGATAATTTATCGTTTATTTTATCACCCCGAGTATCCATGACAACTCACTGTGTGACCAATTTGCATTTATCTATCATTTTACAATTGTAACTGTAATCACACAAAATTTTTGTAGACTACATTTGATTTTTGAATAATCAACTCAATTAATGACCTGGGTAGCATGGATGAATAGCTAATTCACTAACCATTTTTTAAAATCTATAATTCATAAATTTCATATGTTTCGTTCCATGTGAATAATTGGATTAGCCAGTACGTAGCAACGAAATAACTCACTAATCATTTTAATAGTTGAGTTCATGAGTTTATTGAAGCTAAACCACCATCATGGAAAACTTGGAAGCACTGGATGACCGTTTCGTCCTATTGTTGGACTCCTCATTGGCAGTGCACATTCACGATCCCACCTCGCGAGATTCCAACTCACAACCTATCAGTTTCGCACGCAAGCGTTTAACCTCTAGACCACTGAGACCGCCGACATCCAACGGCGTTAATGTCTAACTTCAACTAATCCACCAAATTGAACGACACATTCATTATTGTCTTCAGTGAGTTACTATCTCACAACAGACCCGGTTGAACCCCACTGATCACTGCTACTCACTAGAACTCCAGGAAATAATTCTTGAAGCCAGTCACTAGTGAGCATATGTTGAATAATATCAGAAGGAGGTTTCGTGAACGCGCACTGCTGAATAGTTCCACAATCGGACGAAACGGTCTTCCAGTGCTTCCAGGTTTTCCATGGTGGACACGTGATTACAACTATAAAATTATTAAATCTCCACAAAAACCCCTTCGGACACTAATTAATAGTTTAGCCGATGCTTAGAGTGCAGTGGTGTTTTATCTTGCACTGGTTTTCAGGATAACCAAATGCCATGGTACGACCGAGAGTGAGGAAAGTCCGCTCTCCCTCTCCAAATGCTCTCATACGGCCACGCATATATAGCCTCTGCCAGAGAAGTCCTACTCACTGCCTTCTCGCACTACGGGTAATGTTTACGAAATTGACAGGAAGAAAAGCGAATGTTCTGTGCTTTAACCGGTCCGGTGGACACGGAATATCCACCTAGAGAAGTTGGAAAACCCTCATTTGAAATCAATGGTGCACATGGACTCCAGTATCCTAAGGGAACAAATGGCGTATGAATCAATTATTGGTCACCGGCTACCATGAGACTGCATCTCCTTACGATGCTCCACTCTCTTGTGGATCAGATCTTTCGGTCAAAGGCTCTGGGTGTGGTCCCCTAATAAAACCACCTGCATTTGTTTGGGCACTCGGGCAGTATCACAACCCTCAACCAAATCGAATAAGATTTATGTGGCGCATATGTATCTGGTACCCCTTTGTATCAATATTCATGTGTTTAAACAAATAAATAAATAAGTGGTGTTTGATTAGTTATCTTTCAACAACTTGCTCGTCAGTAAGAAACCCTTCTTCTCTATGTATATCAGTTTAGGAAGCTGGGTATTATCACTTATCTTTAAAGCTGAGTACACAAGGATGTACCGGGTAAT